TTTTTTTTAAAGATTTTATTTATTTGACAGAAAGAGACACAGCGAGAGAGGGAACACAAGAGGGGGAGTGGGAGAGGGAGAAGCAGGCTTCCTGCAGAGCACGGAGTCCGATGTGGGGCTTGATCCCAGGACTCTGGGATCATGACCTGAGCCAAAGGCAGATGCTTATGACTGAGCCATCCAGGCACCCAAGCATTTTTTAAAAACAAGTCTGTTTTAAACTGGAATGCAATATATAGTTCCATTTCCAATGAATAGGCCATATTGCAGGGATAAGAACAACCATGGGAACTATATTAGGGAGGCAGACAAAACTATGAATGCATAAACTCCAATTAGCTGTCAATTAAACATTTAGAAAGTAAATAGAGAATATGAAAATTAATCAAAATTCATGAAGCAGAAGAAAGATGAATGGGAGACAGACTTGCCTGGTTTGAAAACCAGATTATGAGACAACTCAAGATTAGGGGCAGACCACATGATCACCAACACCCTGCTTTTGTTTTTGTTTTATTTTGGAGTTTATCACGTAGTTATTACAAAAAAAGGGGTTAATTCTGGCAGTCAGAAACAAGAGAAATTTCTCTGAATTTATTTATTTTACTAATTCTCAGACTTTATACCCTTGGTTGTTATGCTCCCTCAATTAGCCAAGAAAATAAACTCCAACAAAACTTTTTGGGATGATATAATCCCTTCATAATGGGTGACTATATTTAAATTCCAGGAAGATTTAGAATTAGGTATAAAAATGATCTAGAAAACCAAACTAATAGTGAATCAGGTAAAGAATTTAAACCAAAAACAGTATTAAATTTATAAAAGGAGTTTAAAAATGCTTCATTAGACAAGTTACAAAAGATTTAGATTAAAAAGATTTAGATTAACATACTTAATAGCTTGTGAACTAGGTTTGAAATATGAAATGTCCATAAACTTAGTTTTTTGGTTTTGGTTGTTTTTTTTTTTTAATTGAAGTCGACAATCCTAACTTTAATTTTTAAAAATCAAAGTTATCCACAAAGAACTTTCTATCTGGCTATGATGGACTAGCTTTTCCAAACCAAACATTCTCCTAAGAACAACCATAAAAATAGATAAAACGTAAGGCGGAACTATTTGAAAAGTTCTCTCTGATGAGAGTAACCAAAACAGAACTTGCAGGGCCAAATTCCTGGAAAGCAGGGAACACAAAGGTAAACCCAGCATTCTGTGCCCTTTCCGCACACATGGGTGGGGCAAAATTCAGAAAAACCAGGCAGAAAGTTGCTAGAGGCTAAAAAACTGAGCAAATATTTAAGTAGCTAAGGGCGCCTGGGTGGCTCAGTCGTTGAGCATCTGCCTTCAGCTCAGGTCATGATCCCAGGGTCCTGGGATCAAGCCCCGCATCAGGCTCCCTGCTCCGCGGGAAGCCTGCTTCTCCCTCTCCCACTCCCCCTGCTTGTATTCCCTCTCTCGCTTTGTCTCTCTCTGTCAAATAAATAAATAAAATCTTTTTAAAAAGAAATATTTAAGCAGCCAACGATAAAGGAAATTTTCAACTTTTAACGTTTGTGGGCCCTGCTACTGGGCTCTCAGGGAAGCTATGCTTTAATATCTCCCACCAAGGTCAAAATGACTCAGCAAAACCTCAAAGCAAAGGCGCTCTTTCTGCCTGGAGCACACATTATATGTCTGCGTCGTTCAAAAAATAACCAAAAAAGGAGTATTCCAAACAAAAAGATAAGAAAAACAAAACAAACGTCCCTGGTTTCCATAAGATTAAAGTCATACAGCCTTAACACGCTAAAAGCATAAGATAAAGTCTGGATCTTTCTGGAATGTCCTTCAGCATCATGATTTGTAACTATTTACGTAGAAAACATATATAACCCTGCACCAAATGTTTCTTCCCCAAAGCACTCTCTTCTTTGTCAAGATACTATATCGCGGGCAGCTGTCCTAACTTGGGCTCGAATAAAACGCTTTTCCTTTCTCTTTAAAATTTTTACTAGACAGGCGCTTTAACCAGCTAAGCCACGGCGCCAGCTCTTTAAAATTTTTAAAAAAGGTTTGTTCATTTTGCATCTACATTTCCTGGTGTACTCAACAGGATATCAGAGTAACTCCCGTGAGATTTCCTGGGGGTCCTCTGGAACTTGGCTCTGGGT